GATGCTGCCATCCTCAGCCATTGTATTCAAAGAAAGCAGAGATTCCTCAAGGATCATTTCTAGATCATCAATGTAAAGAGGCTCTGAAAAGAATGAAATTCCCAAAATTGAATCAAACTGAAGAAACAAAAAAAATTGCACTAAGAAATCCTGAATAAAGAATTAGAAAATTCGGGCAATCGAAAATTCACAAAATCAAAACGAAAGTTGGCAAATTTAATCATACACGAGCAGAACTCAAACTTATTCCAGAAATACAGCTAAAAAAAAAAGGAATGGAAAAGGAAGAATTATGGGGGAAAAGCGACCACCTTTGAGCTGTTAAAGAAGGAGAAGATATCGGAGAGGAGGAGCTCAGTCCCACTCGTTTTCGACGGCCAGTTGCAGAACCGACCACCGAGACAGGAGTAAACCTATTCCTTCCTGGAACAACGGCACCGATTCTGCCGCCAACTATCTTCTATCCATTGCACTTTGCTTGCTGCTGAGACCGACTCGAGTATGTAAAAGCCTAAAAACAAGCAGTTGAATACTCTTCCTTCCTGTTCCAGGAAGTAGAAGAGAAGGCGTTGGTCTCCATGGATGTTCTGTTCACGGATAAGGAAACCCAACCCATTTACAAATGGGCTATTGGGTTGGGTTGGGTTAGGTTATGAATCTAATCACCAAATTCGGTCCATTTAATTCAACCTAATTCGACTCCGGCCCAATGAAAAAATCTTACCCAATCAAAGTGATTTTTTTTTTTTTTACATCAATTTGATGATAAATTATATAATAAAAAATAATTTTTTTTTCAAATCACTGTTTAAAACTCAAAGTTAAAATTTTTAACTTAAAATATTAAATTTTTAATTAGTTTACACCTACCCAGTTAAAGTGAATAATTCTTACCCATCCAACTTTAATTATTATATTTTTTAATTAAATTCGTTTTTAAATTAGCTGCCCTATATTTCTTTTTTTCTTTTTTTTTTATGGAATGTCGCCCTATATTCTAATTATATGCATTGTATAAAGCTCTAATTCTTATTTTATTTTTATTTTTTAAAAAATAATTATAATATATGTAAACGAGAGAAAATAAAAAATTTTATAACTAAATTGCTACATTCTTATTTTATTGAATAAAGCTTGAGAGAGATTAGAATCAAAATCAGAAGCTGAGATTGCGATTTCCCTGTGAAAGCAGGTCTGGATATGAACTTTCATCATTCATCGAAAAATCAACTCTTCTTGGTCTCGACGCCCAATCCCCTCTCGGTCTCAACAAGTTGGTTCTTGAGAAAACTTGGATTTCTAAGTGTAGCCATTTTGAGTAAACCAGAAAAGAAAAATCTTCTTTTCTTCTTCAATGTGTTCCATCCAAGAGGAAGGCTGATTTGAGAGATGAAGGAGAGAAAGAAGAAAAACTGAGAAAGGGTTAGGTGAGAGGTTGAAGAAAAGGCTATTTTAACCATGTTCTTATATTTTATTTTAATTAAATATTCAAATTTTACGCATAAGCAAGTTAATCATATTATGCTCTACATTACTTTCAACAAAGCTACGTAAGTTCCTAATTATTTGCGAAAAACAAAATAACTAACCTTGAAAAGTAAAGCACGAAGCCGAGACAATCCGATATTAATGGACCCAATATGCAACAAACTTGTATGAAGAGATGTTCTCAATTCTGTGCTCCTTTCCATCCACCTTGCCAACATTATATTAGCATCCTTAACAGGTCCACCCATATGGCCTGTAACAAATTCGGCAAGCTTTTGGACTAAAACACTAACATTACTAGCAGGGCAATCTAATGCAATACAATGCGCAATTTGCACCAACTCTTCTAGGACAGGGTCAATTGTTCGATTGGCAATCACAACTTCAAAGCCATAATTCCCAAGATTTGTCTCAAGATCTGCAAGAGATGGCAATTTTCCTTGGAGTGCTGAATTTGTGGAAGGCCCATACACATCATAGAAACCATCAACCACTTTCTCTTCGTAATCAAGCACGCTGTACTCCTGGTGTATTAAAATACCTAACAGAAGTCAAGCCAAATAGAATAACTACAGAAACAGTACAGCATAGCAATATATGTAAACAAATTACAGTCAAGCATTAACATGAAGTAACAATGTACAAGAAACTTTCAAATCTCAATATACCTGAAAGACATTCTAGCATGGAGAATATATATTTTAAACTGGCAAAAAAATCAGATATTTGTTTGCATTCTTAAATAGAAAATTTTCTACATTTTAAATTGTTTAAGTGAACTCACTTTGGCAACAACTGCCTTTTTAGTCAATATTATCACTTCAACGTAACTTAAACCACATAAACAAAATTTTCAGATTTTAAATCACATTTCGATCACCGAATCAACTACTTACCTGATTGAATAAAGCCTCACAAAATAGAAAACAAAAGAACAGTACAGAGGAGATACTCCTTCCCCAAATTAAGCAAGGATTGAGAATTTAATGTATGTAATCAAGAAATTTAACCATTCCAACTCAGCTACTAAAATTGAAAAAGCAAGACTCAAATAATTAAGATGATCATAATTTTCTTAACTACAAATTATGCAAGTCCAAAATGGTAGCAATGAAATTTTGTTGGCCAGCAATATATAATCTAAAACTACATACAAAATGCATTTGAGTTGTTAAGAACCAAACTCCAAGCTTTAACCACCAAAACACAATTACTAATCCTTAGTTCAACCTCATCCACTACAATTTCATAGCATGAAAGATTCCATGATGCTGCAATTCATCATTTTTACCTAATCTGAGAGTAAATTGCATTAACCCTAACAATCCAAAACCAACCAGCAGCAACTGCCAACACTGACAAGCAATCCAAACCTAATTCATGCCCATTTAACGCTATTGAATCCAATTAAAATTAATGCTTCAGCATTAAGTGTTCCAAAACATTAATTACCGTC